ATACATAAATGGAATTCGGTGTGTGACAACAGTCTCGGGGTCCCTGAGACACGTCCCGGTCTGCGATTCCCTGGAAGGACCCCAGGGCTCAGCCCGTCATCACACTGACGGCTGGGATTGACTACAGAGAAAGACAAAGAGCACCGTCAGCACAGGGAAAAGGCACACGAGATGGAAGTCTGGGGACACGAGGCACAGCTGCCAACAGTGGACACGTGATGGGCTTCATGCCAACAGAGAGTGGTGACAATTGTGAAGTGTCGTGGCCAGAGATGCGCGTGAGACCTGGTGCCCAGCGTTTTCACTGAGCCTCTGCCTGCCATGCACGAAAACTCCAGACTGCCAGAGGAAAGCAGGTGCTTTACACCTGTGCTGCCCCGAACTGCCTGGGTGGGAGCCACTCCTCGGTCAGGGGGAGTCTCCCCCTGGTCTGGGCAACCACTGGGCAACACCGGCCGAGGGCCACACTGGCCAGCTGGCCTAAGGTCGCGGTGCCGGGCCTGCCACACACTTCGACAGCTGGAGAACAGGAGGGGAACGTGGTACAGTATCATTCGAAGGCAGGCCATGAGAATTGAAAGCTGCATATTTCAATGCTTATCACTAAAAAAAGAAAACAGGTCTATAGTTAATAAACCCAAGAATGCAATAAAATGGGATATTAAAGAACTATTCGATTCATACCAAAGGAAGCTGGGAAAGAGAAGGGAACAAAACGCACGGGACAAGGAGAAAACAAGTGACAAGATGACAGCAGACCCCATAGCAGTGAAGGTTAACTGCACATAAATGGCCTATGTCCCCTTGGAACACCACCAGCCAGGCGGGGCCACCAAGCATTGAGACGCGGCTCATCAAAGCTGGAAGGGTACTAGAGCATGAAATACACACCAGATTTCCAACAACTAACATTAGAAATAGAAAATAAAATAGTTCATGAGTAATTATATAGAGCCCATGTTGAAATATTTTTGCTGTGTTCGGCGAAATAAACCATATTTTCAAAATTAATTTCACCTGCTTTTTAGAAAATTTTCAGAGTGACTACTGGAAATTTCTAAATTACTTATGTGGCTCAGGTCGTATTTGCACTGAAATCCAGTATTTTGGACATAAAAATATGTTGTCTGCAACAAACCCGCTTTATTTTTTTTTTAAGATTTTATTTATTTCTTTGAGAGAATGTGTGAGCAAGACAGAGAGAAAGAGCACAAGCAGGAGGGAGGGGCAGAGGGAGAGGAAGAAGCAGGCTCCCCGCAGAGCAGGGAGCCCGATGCAGGACTCGATCCCAGGATCCCGGGATCATGACCTGAGCGGAAGTCATACTCTTAACCGGCTGAGCCACCCAGGCGCCCCAACAAGCCCACTTTAAATATAAATCCACACATCTGAGAAAAGCAAAGGGGTGGGAAGACGTCCCACTAACACTCACTGAAGAAACCTGCATCTGTGTTAGCATCAACCATCCAAACCTCAGAACAAGACAGACCTAGGGATGAAAAGGGACATTTCATAACTGTGAAGAGGTCGTTCAACAAGATGATGTCACATTCCTCGGTGAGGAGGCACTAATGTCAGAATTTTTAAATATATGAGGCAAAACCCAGTAGGACACAGAGAACCAAACAAACCCACACTTACATTTAAATACGGATTTCAGTAATCGATAGAAGACCACAAAAATCAGGAGGAGGACTGTTCTTCCAGCTGAGGACAACCAAGACCGTCACCAACTGGACCCAACCACGCCACGTGAGCACCCTCCGGCCAACAACTACAGAACACGCACTCTTGTCACGTATGTGCGAGATAACCACCGTGCTGTGTGGCATACAAGGCTCAACAAATCTAAAAGGAGTGAAATCAAAGTATACTCTGAGACCACAATGGAATTAAAACAAGAAATCCATAACAACAACAAAAAACCCGGAAAAATTCGATGTTTATAAAACTAAACTACACTTCCAAATAATCCACAGATCAAAGAAATCACAAGGGAAGTTAGAAAAATACATGTCAACACATCCAGGGTTCAGGCTACGGTGCCGTAGGAAACAACAGCGTTCTAGATCAGCGTCAGAGCGAGGCGCCTCCGAAACGGCTGGCTCGGGCCGGCCAGTCGATGCTGGCTACTGGCAAGAGACCTCGGCTCCTTGGGCCCATTGGCCTCTTCACAGGCTGCTTGAGCATCCTCATCGCCTGTGGCGGACAGCCCCCGGAGCAGGCGATCCAAGCGCTTCTTTAAGGTGCCCTTGCCGAGAACAAGATCAAATTTCAGTCTGCACACGAGGTGGGCAGCTTCACCGGCTCCCACACCCCAGGCCATAACTCCCGAGTTTGTGCCTTTGCAAAACTGACCACCACCACAACCCAAATGCTCAGTGTTAAGAACGCACCGAATTTTACAGTCCATAGTGAGGGGTTTGAAGTAACAGGCAGTACCATCTAAACGAAACATCTGCAGAACTAAGAGCCAGCAGTTCTCCTGAGTAGGTACCTAACAGAAATGTTTACATATGTTCCTAGAGATGAGGACCAGAATGTTCATCGCAGCCAAAATTTGGAAACTATTCCAAAGCGCACTGACGGAAAAGACATGCTGCTGTGGGAACAGTACACAGAAACTAGAGCGAACCATCTATAACCCGCAGCTCCAGTGCAGATGACTGTCACCAAAAGAGCTGAGCCAAAGTGGCCTGAAGCAACACAAGGCAAGCCACCTGCTGGCCTGGCTGCCAGCTGTTTCCGGTGGGGACGGTACACATGCGCGTTCAGCTGGCGGCCGTCTAGTTGGTGCATTCTACGTGCGCCTTCCAGCTGTAGCTGAATCAAAATGCACGCAGACCAAGAAAGTGCTGAGAATTGAGAAACAGGACAACCAGATTTTCTTTAAAAGATTTTATTTATTTAGAGAGAGTGCACACGTGAGTGCTCACGCGTCCATGCACGTGCGACTGGAGGAGTAGAGGGACAGGGAGAGAGAGAATCTCAAGCAGACTCCCTACTGAGCACGGAGCCCGACACCGGGCTCCATCCCACGACCCCGAGATCGTGACAGGAGCCGAAATCAAAAGTCGGATGCTTAACCAACTGAGTGAGCCACCCAAGCAACCCACGACCACCAGATTTTTTAAGTCAATACATGAGCTGGGGGTGCCTGGCTAGTTCAGTCAGTAGAACGTGTGACTCTTGATCTCAGAATTGTAAGTTCGAGCCCCATGTTGGGCATAGAGCTCACTTAAAAATAAATCTTTTAAAAACTAAATAAACGAATTGAAACAGACCCAAGGAATCTCCCCAAAACGTAAAATACATAAAAACTAAAAAAAAGGGTGCCTGGGTGGCTCAGTCGTTAGGCGTCTGCCTTCGGCTCAGGTCATGATCTCGGGATCCTGGGATCGAGTCCCACATCAGGCTCCCTCCTCGAGGGGAGAGCCTGCTTCTGCCTCTCCCACTCCTGCTGCTTTTGTTCCTGCTCTCGCTGTGTCTCTGTCAAATAAATAAATAAAATCTTAAAAAAAACTAAAAAAAAGCGGAAAATAGGAGATAAATAAAATTAAAGAGGCGTGTAAGGAAGCTCAATCCTTGGCTCCCATAGCTGGTCAGCAGGCGAAACCACAAACAAAAGGCTCTGCTTTGAGCTCAGCAAGTCAGCCACGGGAGAAAGCGGGCATGAGACGTAAAAGCCTTCAAACACAGCACACAGTCATCACAGGTCGGGGTTCAGAGCGACCAACCGAAAAAGAAACGTCTGAGGCAGCTGGGGGCCTCCGGGTATGGACTAGTTACCAGGGTCCCCGAGAACACGGCTCCCTCACCTTATGGAGGGACTCATTCCAGAGGCATGGACAGGGTTTCGGGACCAGGAAGCCACTTCTGCCCCAAACGGGTGCAGCCCCCCGGGAAGGCTGCTGCGGCAGAAGGGGGAGCTGTGCTCCCTCCTCCCACTCCCGCCTGCTGCCAGAGCCCGAGTCAGCGTGTGCTGGGACAGACGGGGGACAGAGGCACCAGTGTGGGCCAATGGAGCACGACCCATCGGCCGGCGTGATCACTGCTGTTGGCAGTCCTGGGGCTCGCGGAGGACATGGGCTGTACCAAGATGAACACGAGAAACGAGCTAAAAGCAGCAGCTGGGAGACGGGATGGGGAGAAGGGCACAGAGCGGGTCACTGTCACAATCAGTTGGCCAAGAGAGTTTGGTCTCCGTCATGTGCACGTGTGACCATGACAAGAATGAAAGCAATTTGAAAGCAACCACGGGAAAGACGGTGATGGCCATGGCCCCCTCCTACTCCATTCTGATCCTGACCGGCTGCTCGGCACGGCCTCGTACTGACAGGCATGTCTGAGTCTCCCCATCAGGTGCAAGAGGACCCACCTTACACAGCCCCCAGCTCCGGCCAGGTGACCCAGGGACCCCTCCCAACCTGGCCCTGTTTTACAAAGACACCTGCCCACAGAGAACACGAATGAATGTTTGGTGAGAAAGAAGATCAATGTGAACACAGAAGAATACGGTTTGTTCGGTCTTTAAAGAAATGGACCAGTTCATTTTGAAACTACACGGATTTAATGGGGCGCCTGGGTGGCTCAGTCATTAAGCGTCTGCCTTCGGCTCCGGTCATGATCCCGGGGTCCTGGGATCGAGCCCCGCACTGGGCTCCCTGCTCCGCGGGAAGCTTGCTTCTCCCTCTCCCACTCCCCCTGCTTGTGTTCCCTCTCTCGCTGTGTCTCTGTCAAATACATACACAAAATCTTTAAAAAAAAAAAAGACACTACAGATTTAAAAGAGATCTTAAAGAAGGATCGGCAAACTTCTCCGTGAGAACTAGACTACAAATACCTTGGACTCTGCCAGCCATTTGGTCTCTGTGGCAACTGGGCCACCCTGCTGCTGGAGCACAAAACACACGGAGACGGTACCTAACGAACAGGCCAGCTGTGTCCCAGCAAAATTTTATTTAAGAACACCGGAATTTGAATTGCATATGACGGTCACATGCCACGAAATACTATTTTTTTTATTTGTTTTCAACCATTTAAAAACGTAAAAGCCATTCCGAGCTCACAGGCCATACAAAACCAGGCAGCGACAAGCCTTGGCCTGCAGGCCACTTCACAAGACACCAAAAAGACCAAACCAAAGTTCCTCCTAAAGCCAAGAATCTCAAAGCAGACTGTCAAAGAGAACTCTGCCTGTGCCCAGGGCAGTGCTAACGAGGCTCCTACAGGAGGACCCGGGCCCCAGCACCCCCATCCTGGCCCAGGCACGCCCCCTCTGCTCCTTGAACAAAACACTTCTGCCCTCGTGGGAAGGGACCTGAGCAGTTCACACACAGCACTGTGTTCGGATCAATGTGTACAGCAAAACAAGGCACTTAGGGAAAGCTGAAGCATTCCAGCTTCTGATACACAAAAGCATTTGTTTCTAGTATCCCAAAAAACCCCTCACCGAAGTCATCGCGGACACACACGGGTTTCCCATATTCGAGACCAATCACCGGGAAGTGGGTAGAAGCACAGATAACCAAAGCAGCAGAGACAACTACGAAGCCCAACCACCAAAGGAACGCTTCTTCGTACTAGGGAGTCGTTTCAGTCACAAACAGTACACGCATCAAAGATGGTTTTGCTCAGTGTATTTTGAAATCAGTTCCCGATGCTGCTGCTACACATTTCCAGAAGCTGCACAAGCTCATCTTTATCGAGTGGTGACTAGAATTCGCTTGACACCCCCGGTCTCTGCATCGTGTGCACAGAGCTCACAGGGAGATCACACGCGCGTGCCGGCCGCAACCACTTCCCTGCAGATCTCCGTTACGGCCGGGGCTCCCGGGTCCTCGCGCACCCCAGGAGAAGCCGAGTCTGTGCCCTGCGCCCCCACTGAGCCCGCATCACGTCGGCAGCAGCCGCACTTACACGCGGGGACCCGGCATGGGAGCAGCGCGGGTGCTGACGGAGGAACGGAGTCCTCCACCCCCCTGGCCAGTGGCCCCTGTGCCGGACAGCGCGGGACACCATCCAGAGGGAGACCCGGGGACAAAGCGCGTCTATCGCGCTGCCGTAAACACGTTCGGCATGTGGATCTCGCTGGAGGAAAACGCGTCCAGTGTTCTGGGAACAGTGCGACACCGACAGCCGCCACTGCGGGTTCCGATTTCCTCCAATATGAAGAAAAAGTGCTTCCAGGCACTTGCACTACTCACTTGTAGTATCTCTAGCTGAGTCACATGCGGCACGGCTTCCCTTCAGCCAGCGGGCACCCGAGACACCAGGCAGGGGAGCCTCTGCGCAGCGGCAAAAAGTTCTAGAGCCCAGGACACCCACCCGTTCTCTGGGACGGCCGACGTGTGTGCTGAGCTGGTGCGGACCGGACTGTCACCAAGCATGGGTCGGGAACGACATCCCCCTTCTGCTTCCCAAAGGGAGCCTTCGGCAGGGAGGGGGCAAGCACAGTCGGCGTGGCTAGGACGAGCACCTCAGGGACGCCTCCCCTGGCTTTATCTTCTTGGCCTGCCCATTGGGCCCAGGGGGCAGGCTCTGCCGCCGCTTCTGCAGCCTGTCCTCCTTCTTCCTCAGGTAGGCTGTCACGTTGTCAAAGGTGGCCTTGTAGAGACCGCTGAAGCCCACGTCCACGCCGGCCGCACCTGCGCGGGAGGAACAAGAACAGAAACTGGGTGGGACGGGGACCCGTGTGCCTGCGAGGCCCTGGGGCGGCGGGACTGGCCGGGGCTCGCGGTGGACTTGCACCGCCTGCTCCGAGGCGCCCCCGCGAGGCCCACATCCTGGTGGTCACGCCAGCCGGACCTAGGATTGCTTCTAACACAACACACCAAAGCCGGGTTACTGCTGGGAGACGAGGCACGAGGGCTGTGGCTTGCACGCTCATTCTGGTGGAGCTGCCCGCACGCGGAGAGCTGCCCCACAGGGGCCCTTGTGCTGGGGACTGAGGGCGGCCTCCAGCCAACAGCCAGCGAGGGAGTGAGGCCCTCGGCCCAGCAGCCTGCAGGGACCAGCACGCTGCCAACAACTGCTCGTGCACCTGGAATCAGACCTCGCCGCCAGGGAAGTAGTCCTCTCAGGACGGCACTGGGACACTAAGCTTCAGGACCCACACAAACAGCAAGATAAAAAGTGGCGTTGTTTTCACCCACTGACGGCAGGTTACTTGTTACACAGCAACGTAACAGATGCAGACTGATCTAAGTGTCAAGAGTTCAGAGGCACGATGACCACAGACCAGTCCCACAGGGTCGACCTCACCCTGGCCAGAAACTCCATAGGGACCGTCGGCAATGTGCCCGCCTGTGCCCTACACGGTGACCTCCCCACTCACTCCGGCTTCCCTATGCCTCCTGTGACTTTCAAGCTCAGCTGGCCTGCCTTCCCCATGCTCTCTCCCCCTGCACCTTCCCCACCCCTGCACCATGAACAGGCTGTTTTATCTGCAGAAGCTCAGGGAAGCTAAGCCCGCCCCGGGCTGGCCCTGCCAGGCAACCCACAGCAGGACGTGCTGGCCCCAGGCCCCGGCAGGTAGGACGGCATGAGCCAGGCGGGGAGCAGGCTCGCCAGTGTCCCCGACACAGTCCTGCCACAGATCCGTTCCACAGTGTTGCTGAAGCAAATGCACACAGTGCTGGGGAGGACGGAGCCCTGTCACCGCCCTAGTCCCTCCACTCTAAAAGGAAGGATGGAAATTAACCCCAGAACCCAGAACCAACAAATCACCTCAAGAATGCCTTCCATGAGGGCGCCTGGGTGGCTCAGTTGGTTAAGCGACTGCCTTCGGCTCAGGTCATGATCTTGGAGTCCTGGGATCGAGTCCCGTATCGGGCTCCCTGCTCGGCAGGGAGTCTGCTTCTCCCTCTGACCCTCCTCCCTCTCATGCTCTCTGTCTCTCATTCTCTCTCTCTCAAATAAATAAATAAAATCTTTAAAAAAAAAAAAGAATGCCTTCCATGAGACATTTAGATCACTGCTAGCTGTCAACAGAAACGGAATTTATGTTTGAATGTCCTGAATTCCGAGGAACTCTGACTTCTCCCTGGGGAATACTTTTAAAAGATGTCTTCTAAGCAATAATTTGTGTACTTAAATGAAAGCGTCTGACTCCCAATGCTGGGTTACCAGTCATCCTTCTGACAGCCGCTTCAAATCTCTGCCCAAGAAGAGCATCACGGGGTCGCTAGAGGCTGTGTAACTAAAGATTTGCCTTCCTCTACCAAGAGAAATGGAATGAGGTCGGGGCGCCTGGGTGGCTCAGTCGGTTAAGCGTCTGCCTTTGGCTCAGGTCGTGGTCCCAGGGTCCTGGGATCGAGCCCTGAGTTGGGTTCCCTGCTCAGTGGGGATCCTGCTTCTCCCTCTGCCTCCCCCCTCATGCTCTCTCTCGTGCACTCGCTCACTCTCTCAAAGAAGTAAAATCTTTTAAGGGAAAAAAAAGAAACGGAGCGAGGTCTCCTCATTCTGACATTCTCAGACAGAAGGACTAACTGAGGGCAGCACCCAGCGCTCACCTCAGGCCCTTCCACTGACCAGGACATGTGGCTCTGATCGCCTGGCCACCCCCCTCACAGACTGCAGCGCCACAAGGAAGGGGGGGGTCCTGCCTTCCCACTACTGCCTCTCCTCTTCCCTCAGCCTAGTGTTCCTACTGGGACCCACCCTGGGCCACAGAGACCCACAGGCAGTCTGCTGTTTGTCCCCACACCTGACTTCATGGCCAGGAACCACATACACCTGTGGTTGCTCAGAGCCAATAATCAGGGCCTGTGAGTCGCCCTGCCACTCCGTCTGGAGGCCCACCAACTACCGGCCCCTCCCAGGGGACCTGCAACACACAGCCCTGACGGCAGAGAGGTGGACAGTACTCCAACTCTGACCCTGGTTCCCATGAAGCTCAATCATCCTGACGCGGAGGACTGCCCGGGCGTGGGTCAGCTCCTCAGTGCCCCGACCAGCTGCCGGCCTTGTGGACAGGGACACAGGCACATGCCACACGTCCTGGACTCTCGCCCATAGAAGTGGCTTCCTACTGTGCATGGTATCCTGTAAGCTGGCCCTGTCCGTGGCCAATTCTGGACATCATCCCGAAAAACAGGCCGTGCTCACACTCTCACCTTCCAGCATGGCCCAATTCCCCTGAAGATGGGCGGAGACCTTCTTTAAGGCGGCATCTTCAGGAACAGCCTGAGAAGACAAACGGAAAACGTTTACCAGGAAGACACATGACCACAGCCCCAGCGCGGCCGGCAGAGGCTCCCCAGACCTGCCAGGCGTGGTCCAGGCTGCCAGGCCCTCGGGAGCACCAGGCAAAGCCGGCCAGCCGTCCCGGTGCGGCAGACACAGCAGTCACCACATCACGTCACGACAAAGACCCATGACGCGTGGGCTGCCAGGGACCCACACGCTGGCTCGTCCTTTTTACCTTGTCTGAGGGGCCCGGCAGGGGACATGTACAAGCTAGTGGCATTCTGTTCACCACTACTTTTTAGACGAAAATACCCAAAAGGTTCAGGGGCACCTCCGAAGCCCTCAGTCAAGTGAGCACGTGTAAAGCACGAGACAATCTGCACAGTGCTCTGGTGGGCTTTATCAGATCCGCCCCCCTCAGTGTCACAGGAGATCCTGGACAGGCGGGAGACGGCCCCGCTTTACAGACAGGGCAGCCAGCTCGGAGAAGGGGTAAGGTTCGCACGTCACCCGGTGAGGAGAGGCTCGCTCAGCCCACAGCCCACATGCCTCTCTGCTCCTGATTCCATGCCCCAGATACAAGGCCATGCTAAGCCTGCCAACGTCAAGGACACCAACTGCTGGTTTCTCTGCTAAAAAGACAGGTGACCAGCACAATCACAAGAAAAAATAGGCCCATGAGGGAGACTATCCCACAAAGAAACACTGCAAGCATCATGACATTAGATGAGCTAGCCGGGCGCCCCGGCTCCCTGAAACCCCGGCACAAGTCCTCCAGCCACCACCCCCCAAGGACGCAGCCCCCAGCACCAAGACATGATCAAGCTAAAAGTGGCACAGCTGTTGGCCCCCCCAACCCCGACCCCAGGCTTAGGGGCGGCAGGGACCCAACACGTCTCACCTGCCACCAGCCGTCCACAGGCCTGCAGAGCACAAGGGGGGCTTCCCGGAAGTCCTGCAGGACCCACAGTCCCTGGCCCTCCTCGAAAGCAATGTCCCACACTCTGTGCTGAAAAGCCAGCTGCTGTCTGTAACCCAGCTGCTGTCTGTGGGCATCGAGCTGGAAGACGTAGACAACAGGAACGCTTTCCACAAAGAGAGAGAGAAAAATTATTACAACTACCATGAGGCCCATGTGGGTATCATTGGACAACAGACAGCAGCTCAGCACTGTGCCCGGATCTGCCCCAAACACAAGACCCAGCCACCACCAGCATCTTGACTCTAAGCCCACGAGACTCAGACAGAAACACCCAGCCAAGCCACTTCCCAACCCAAGAGCCACAGGAACCAAGAGATAATAAAGGTCTAAGTCAGTAAGCTGGTCATGCTATGACAGGGAACCAGTACGGGACAAAGAAATAAGACGTGGGGAAGGGGGCTGTCCCAGCTACAGTAGCAGATGGCGCTGGGCACAGGCACCTCCTGGCTCTAAACCTGCATCCTATTTTAAAACAAACTAAGATGCCCTCTGCAGGCTTGTTGTAAGGACAAACTAGACGGGCAGAAACACCAGATACCTAGCCAGCACATAAACAATGCTCCAGACCCGCTGGGTGGCACGCAGTCCCAAAATCCTCCTCCTCACCACCACGAGCCGTCGGGTGGGTCCTACTGTGACCTGCCCTAGGTCGGGTGTGAGGGCTCTATCAGGACCAGCCCCCGGGTGGGGCTGACTGAAGCGTATTCTACAACTTTGCTCTCACCCTCAGATGGGGCTTTATCATGCACAAAAGGCCAACTGGAGACCAGTGAATTTAAACAGCAAGTGAAAGAGCGCCACTCCACTCTAAGGAAAGGAACCCACACCCCTCAGGCAACAGCCATCCTCCCAGAGTGAAACTCACTGCAGGGACAGGTTGTACAAATAAAAGCGTGTGAAGCCTCCCAACAAGGAGACAGCACACGGGGCCAATGAACCACCTGCGTGTCCCCTCCCTTACGGCGGGGGTGTGGGGCCCTGAAGCAACGCCCCCAGCGCGTGAGCTCACCCACCAGTCACACAGCAGTGCCACGCAGCCCTCGGGGCTCCAGTAGGTGATCCTGGATGCGGCGAACCTCTGCAAGGAAAAGCAGTAACATAACAGCACGCTCGCCTGTCAGGGACCCGACTCGGGACTATTCTGTTCAAAGCGAGATCAGACACAGCAAGATCGTGACAGTGGCCACTACGGTCAAGGAAGGAAAACAAGAAAACAGTCCTGGAACTTTCTGGAAATCAGAAAGAGAAAAGAAAGGCACAGCAAACTACCCGTTTCACAATTCCAACGTGCCACGGCAGATAGAAGCCTCTCTCGTGGCTCTGGCCTTCCTTCAATGTCTCTAAAGCCAACGGACTGGTCAAGAAGGACAGGAGGTGACAAAGAACCCAAGGGATCGTTAACAAGACACAACTGTGTGTGCAAGGTCCACACATCCCAGAGTGGGAACATCCAGATGCCAGTCAGGAGAAGTGGGAGAAAAGGCCTGATGTTCACCAAGCCCAGCCCGAGGGGCAGAGGCCATGGCCTAGGGGCTCCTGAAAGGAAGCGAGGAACCCAAGAGGCAGGGCCATCCACAGCTCGTGCAGCCCTTGTGTGCCAGGCCCGAGGTCAGAAACCTACTGGTTCATGGTTCTCTCTCTGCCTCACACTCCCTCCCCTGACCTCTGAGAAAGAGACCAAAGTCAACCTCACTATCCCAGAGCACCAGGAGGTTAATTGAGAGCATGAATGTGAAAAAGTATGTGAAAAAGTTACCAGAACAAATCAGGCATCCATGCGCTATGGCCTTGTGCGGGGTGGAGAGCACCAGGACTGCAGACACCCAAGTAGGGGGTGCCATGAGCCGGAAGCCAGAGCAGCAGAGTCCGCTGACCTGTGGGTCCAGGCAGCCCCTTGGCTGGGTGGCCACAGCCCCAGGGTCTTTGAGGCTCTGGCCCATGGTCAGGCATGGCCTGCCCACTTCTGAGGCCGAGTAAGGGCAGTGGCTAGAGAGCAGTCTCTGGGGGGAGGAGAGAAAGCAGCCATCCCGAGGATGAGGCAGATGAGCCCCTCAACTCTGGCCCAGGTCTCCTGCGGGCTGGCAGGGGGCCACACGGGGGCTCCCAGGAAAAGTGCAAAGCTCCCCTGATGACAGCCAGGACACCTGGTCATCAAGAAACCACCCCAAGGGCCAGCTCTGCGGGCCTGGAGAACCACGTAAGCAGACTGCTCCCTCCCTGCCAGGCCCAGGGGGGCCTCTATAGGAAAACGGGTGGAGCCATCCTCGGGTGACCAACCTGGACCTCAGCCCTGCAGGGCATGACCCCAGGAGCATCACAGAGCTAGGTGTCCATGACGACAGAATCCAGAGCACCCCCAAAAGGCAACCCACACATTCTCCCCTGAAAATCTCTCACAATCAAAGGCCCAGGTGACCTGACCTGGGGATACACTGGCCGGTGTGGAGTCCCAGGGGTAAGGGGGAGGTCATCGAGATTAATCCATGACAGACAAAGGGAGAGATGCAGGAAGGGTGCTCAGCTCCCTGACTGGCTATAAACCCCTGGGGAAACTCTCTGCTCAGGCACCACTGTCTTTTCCATTTCCAAGCAGGACTGGAGGAGGCATTTCTGTACCATGGTCATTCAAACACAAATAAAGCGAGAGAAGTTATTGCCCACTTACGGGACTGGACACCTTTAGAGTTTGAAGTACATGATCTCTCCCAAACTGGATGACGTCTGTGCTGACGACAAAAAAATGTTTCCAACACAAAAGTGGTTTTGTTCGCAGGATTCCAGTGACTGAAGAGGTGCCCTATAAGCCCTGATAAACCCGAGACAGAAGCATGACGTTACCTTGTCACCCCACGGCTCCGCCGGCTCCCGCAGGCTGGTCAGGTGACAGCAGTGCAGCTCTCGGCCACTTCGGTACTCCCAGAGCCTCAGGGTGTGGTCCTGCACACAGCGCGGACGGGTCAGCACACGCGCATGGGGGGCAGGCCAGCCTCTGAGTGCGGGGGCTTCCGGCAGGGGCTGGAATACCGCTCAGCGGCAGCCAGCGCCACGGCGCTCTGCTCTGAGGGAGGGCTGTGCGGCCACGCCGATCGTTAGCAAAACACCCGTGACCCCCACACGGCAGAACGGGCAGAAGACACGAGACAAGCTGCCTCGTTCACGTGCAGGACGTCAAAGACCGCGGCTGCTGTACTCGCGCCAGGAGGATACACGCGCTTCAAGGGTCACCCATTGCACAGGAGACACGTGGGTGGGGCTGCTGAGCACGACAACTGTCCCGCTTCCCTGTTCAGGAAGGGGTGAAAAGCAGGCGTCCGCCTGTTACCCGTGAGATTGTCACCTGGTGCAGATAAAGAAACTGGCATGTGTACCAAGAGCCTTAGTGCTCCAAAAATAAGCATCAATGCAAGAGAGAGCTCTATGAACAACTGCTCATCACAGATCTCACTAGAAGGACAGGACATAGAAAGAACTACATATCTGAGAACACTCAGGACACACAGGGCGCGAAACGGAGCCCAGCTAGCTCATCCGCTCGGCCGGCACACCGGGGACCCCCATCCCGTGGACCCCCACCCCGTGCACCAGAGTCCATCGCTGACAACAGGCATGCACAGGCCCACGTGCACGTGAAGCCCAGATTCTGAGCAAACCAACAAGACGGCATTGACACAGCACACGCAGAGTTCCTAAATGACTGGGAGAAAAGGAAGAAGAGCAATTCCCCCAGAGCATAAGAGCTGGGGTGTGCGGGTGCTGGGCAGGAGCACAAACACCTGCCAGGAAACTACAGACATGGAGGCAAAGGCCCACCTGCCCCAACCTCCCTCTGCAGGGACTGGAAAGGGATGTTCCCAAAGCGTGAAGCCTTGAGAACAGAGACATGAGGAGACAAGACAATGGTGAGGCCGTCTGGGAGCAGACGAAGGCAGGGGGACTGGCCAAAGGAGGCCGTGACACAGCGGCTGGGCCCAGCAGGCCCGCGGCAGCACGGCCACCCGGGGGGCAGTCAGGGCGGCCGGACTCCCCACCCCTGCGGCTTACAGAGCCGCGGGTTCACCATGTGCCGCCAGGGAGCAAGAGACCGCAGTCTTAGGGACGTCAGATCCATGCCAAGGGGCACCACCAGCCCTCCCCAGTCACCTCCCGGAACACGGGGACAGGCCTGACGCCCAGAAAAGTGAAGACTGAGCCAAGTAACCACCAAAAGAGGGCTGATCCAGATGGCCTGTGGGTGCCCGACTCCAACACCCTGGGCTCCCAGACACAGCCTCCACCACGCTGGCCAGTGCCCCGTCCCCATCATAAATGGACAGATGCAACCACCAGACATCTGCAGGAAACCTCCATGAGGAAAGGTGGACACCACACAGGGGGAAGGAAACACACATGAGCTCAGGGAGATCGAAGATCCTGCACTCGGGACCAACACAATTGGGGCCAGGACCCTGGGATCGAGCCCCGTATCGGGCCCCCTGCTTGGTGAGCCTGCTTCTCCCTCTCCCTCTGCCGCTCCCCCTGCTTGTGCTCGCGCTGTCAAATAAATAAATCTTAAAAAAAAAAAAAAAGAAAGAAAAGGACACTTGGAGG